TCCCAGCTACTCAGGAGGCTGAGGTAGAAGGATTTCTTGAGCCCAGGAGGCAGAGGCTGCAGTGAGTTGAGATAGTGCCAACTGCACTCCAGCCTCAGCAACAGAGAGAAACCATTTCCGAAAAAAAAGAAAAGAAAAGGACTTATTATCTAATTCAGTATATTCTATAATAATCAAAACATATCATTGAATGAATGGGGAAGAAAATTAGATCAACTGCTGTGAAGTCAACTTGTTTACTCCTGATCAAGAAATAGCAGCAGATTTTACCTCTGTGGTATTAGTAAAACAGATCTTTGCGCAGGGCGCGGTGGCTCACGCCTGTAATTCCAGCACTTTGGGAGGCCGAGGCAGGCAGATCACGAGGTCAGGAGATGGAGACCATCCTGGCTAACATGGTGAAATCTCGTCTCTACTAAAAATACAAAAAATTAGCAGGGCGTGGCGGCGTGCGCCTGTAGTACCAGCTACCAGCTACTTGGGAGAATGGTGTGAACCCGGAAGGCAGAGCTTGCAGTGAGCAGAGATTGAGCCACTGAGCTCCAGCCTGGGAGACAGAACGATTAAAAAAAAATGTATATGTGTATATATATGTTTATATATATATACACACATAAAAATTTTTGCTTGCAAATATATATTTTAAATGTTTGATATATGGGGACACATCACAGTGTATACTGTCAAATTAAGTGAGTTATAAACAGAAGAGGAAAATCAAAATAGGAAAATTATAATAGCCTTAAATCTCTCAGTTGATATTAAAAATACTAAATTCTGGGCCGGGCGCCATGGCTCACACCAGTAATCCCAGCACTTTGGGAGGCCGAGATGGGTGGATCACGAGGTCAAGAGATGGAGACCATCCTGGCTAACATGGTGAAACGCCATCTCTACTACAAATACAAAATAATTAGCTGGGCGTGGTGGCGGGTGCTTGTGGTCCCAGCTATTCAGGAGGCTGAGGCAGGAGAATGGCGTGAACCTGGGAGGCGGAGCTTGTAGTGAGGGGAGATTGAGTCACTGCACTCCAGCCTGGGTGATAGAGCGAGACTCCATCTCAAAAAAAGAAAAAGAGAGAAAAAAAAAGACAAAAACTAAATTCTGGCAGCTAGGGTAAAATTAATATAAGAAAAGAATAGATACAGCACTCACTTTTTCTATACCCCCAAGTGTTTTAATTATTTCTATATTTGAAAATGAATTCATAATCTATTAGTCACATTATTTGGAATTTCAAATTATGTTTCAGATAAAAGCCTTGACTTTAAAAACATACGTTTGGATGAATAAACAAAGCAAACTTGCTATGACTTTCATGTAAACTACTTTATCCTTCTATATTGCTCCATTGAGTTAGTGAGGTCAGGGTTTTGATAGAATGAGAACATTCATACAGTGAATTGCAGACATATTTGAAGGTTTTTAAAAATGATGTTGGCTTTGTCTAGGGCTGAGGGTGATGTTGCAGGGCAAGTGTAAAGGACAGAGTCACATAGAGACTCCTAAGAACTAGAAAGCAACCAGTGAGTCCCAGCATCTGAAAGCAAGAAAGTGTCAGTGTAGTTCCGTATAAATTTAGTAAAACATAAAGCAAGCACTCAATTGTTTTCCAACACAATATGCTAATTGGAGTGGCAGAATTGTATGGTAGAAAGAACATACAAATGGCAAATATATTCACAACACTGTGCCAAGTGCAGTGAGAGGTACAGTGACATAAAAACATGCATTTTCAGACATTACAGTCAGTTTGAGGATTTAATATATTCATCATGTACAGAGATCTAAAATTTCCTTGAGTATCTATTATGCATGCTGACTGCTAGGAAATGTGTGCTAAGTATTTTATTCTGGATTCTCTCAGATAAAACTGACCTCATAGCTCTGAGTTAAGTGATTTGATATTTATCACATAAGAAAATTGAAGTACAAATGAGGAAATCGAGGTACAGACACATTAAGCAACTTGTCCATGACTATACAGCTGCTACGCAGAGCATCTGGGATTCAAATCTAGGAATGAGTGAAGAATTTTATTACTAATTGCA